TCCAGCTCCTTAGATGGGTGCAAACCGTGATGGACTAAGCTTATACCTAGGGACTGGACTTGCCCGTATGGCAAGAGACAATGGAAAGAAGACCAAAGCAGGAGATTTAAGGCAATGCTGAAATTTGACTACTGCAACTTCAACTGAAGCTGGCTTGTACGAATTACAGAATGTTAAGGATAAGTTCTGAGCGTCGGGAGAGGAGAATATGTGTTTCCACCTTTTCTTTGTTCCCTTGGTGAGCCTGAAATCCTTGCACAGAATGTGTTTATTCTCTTTATTAAACGTTCTTATATTTTGAACGCTGTAAGTCTGATCTCTGTAAAAATGCCATGCCTGTTCAGTCTTGCTATCTGAAGCATGGGGCATCAGGTAGGCTCACACTATGACCTTGAAACATCATAGCTCTAAATTGCAAAGATGCGATACATTGCCCCATGCTTGCTTGCCGGAGTCTTGGAAGAGGTGTAACAACTAGGCGGAGTCTCTGAATGGCAGCACAGGTGTAGAATGCGAGATGCACAACTCCATCTGGCAGAAGATACTGTCAGAGTTGTTGGTAGCAGTGGATGATACCCAGTTAAGAACATAAGAGGAGTCATGATGGATCAGGCCAATGTCCCATCCAGTCCAACACTCAGTGTGAGACAGTGGCCAAAAATCAGGTGCCCTCAGGAGGTCCACCAGAACTCCAAAAGCCCTCCCACTGTAGCCTCCCAAGCACCAAGAATACAGAGCATCACTGCCCACTGTTGACCCCCCCCCAAGCACCAAGAAGACAGAGCATCCCTTGCCCCAGAGCCCCTATCTATACCTTGTGACTAATAGCCACTGAAGGACCTCTGCTCCAAATGTTTATCCAATTCCCTCTCGAAGCTGTCCATGCTTGTAGCCGCCACCACCTCCTGTGGCAGTGAATTCCATGTGTTAATCACTCTTCGGGTGAAGAAGGACCTCCTTTTATCCATTCTAATCCGACTGTTCACCAATTTCCTTGAGTGCCCACGAGTTCTTGTCTTGTGAGAAAGGGAGAAAAGTACTTCTTTCTCGACCTTCTCTATCCCCTGCATAATTTTGTGAACTTCTATCATGTTAACCTAGAGAGCCAAGGGGAAGGGATGGCCTTGGTGAACAAAGACTTGGGAAGGCCGTGGGAGTCCACCAGAAAGAACAAGAGAGGCTTTATAGAAATACGGGGGGCGATGGGCAAGGGAAACGACTGAAGCTATAGGTGGTTTATTTGGAGAGGTCACTTTCTCAAGTTGATCCCAAGCGGCTAATCGTGGCTCAAGATGTGGTAAAGAGATACGCAGGGAATATTTACTTTGCTGTAAATCAGTATAACACCTCAAGTCCAGAAGGCCTGCATCCTAGGGTGCTTTGTTTGACAGGTCCTAGAAAATACACGAGGTGCCAAAAGTCGGGGTGGGGTGGGGTGAAGGAGAAGATGACGAACCACTCCAGTCTGACTTTGCTTTAGAATCTGTGGTATTGTCTTCCCTAGAATCAGTCCATCTGTGAAATAATGCACTGTTCTCATCACATTTCTGATCAGGTGACAATTCTGTGGATTTGCAGGAACGCAAAGTATTCCCCAGCTTCCCCAG